CAGACTTCATTCTAAACTTCATTCTACATTTTAAAGGGACATTATAGGCACTCAGACAACTTCATATCATTGAAGTGTTTTGGGTGCACTGTCACTGTCCCTTTAACCCTTCAATCTAAAATTGTTGCTTTTTCTGAGAAACTGCAATGTTTATATTGCAGGGTTAAAACTACCTTTAATGGCTATCTACCAGACAGCCAATAGAGGCATTTCCTGCAATTCCAATGAGTTTAACTCCGTGAAATGATGCTCAACATTGTCACTATAGGGACAATATATATGATGATTGGCCAGGGCTGTGTTTGACTTGTGCTGGCTCTGCCCCTGATCTGTCTTCCTGACCGTCTCAGCCACTCCTATGGGGAATCACAGTGATTGGCTCAGTTGTCCACTTCTGAAGATGTCAGCCTAACAGGCAGTTCAGGTGCAGAGGCAGCAGCTGCAGACTTGAATACAATTAAGATTGTACTATATTTAGGGGGACAAGAGGGGGACCAGGGGGCCTGATGGTGGTTTTACGCTGTTGGGTCAGGAATACATGTTTGTGTTCCTGAACCTATAGTGTTTCTTTAACTTATAAAACATACATGCAAATGAATATAATGTTTTTATGAAAATTGTTTAAAAAGTTTTAACAATGCATGTTAATAAATCACCTGTGCAAGGAAGGTTATGTATATATGCGTGTGTATTTTTTAAACCAAAGCATAGGCTTTTCACTTTTGATTAAAAATGGCTTGGTGACCAGAAACAAGTCATGGACGACTGTTTCGACAGTGTGGGTCACAGCAGCATGGTACCAGGTCTGTACATTGAAGTCTCTATGAGATCATATAACTACGTACCAAAACATATTATGGTGAGACAAAACTCGATAAAACTCCATACAGTGCAAGTACAGAAATTACAATCATCCATCGCTGGCATATCTTGAGTTGGCTTTTGAGAAGTCCTTATTGGGCATAAAAGTGACATTGAGAAATGCTTGCTATTCATAAAGATGTTTTTGTATGTAACTCTCTCAATTATTCTGACAAAAAAAATCCTGAATATTAGATTTTTATTTCACTTCACAAACAAAGTTAAAATCAAATTAATTTTTCTAATAGACATCCTGCCTTACTTTGTTCAGAGCAAGGCATCTTGAGACATCTTTTAATAATATTCCCTTAATAAGCATTTGGTAACCTGGAGAATTTTGCTTGTTATTTTGTGACACATGTCAAGCTGAAATTGTTGCAGTTAGCTTATTTCAGGTTTGATGTAGCTGATCAGTTCTGTTCTAATAGCCCAGGAAAATAAATTTGCCTTGTGGAACCTGTCAATTATCAGTGTAACTGCTTACATTTGGGGGGAAAACTCCACTGCTCACTTGGTATTATCAGCCTTGACACTCAACAGAGATCCTTGTCTTTATTGAAAAACATGATGTTTATGATTTAGAAGTGTATATTGCATCTTTATTTTTCAAACTAACCCAAAACATTTAGTTAATATGATTAAACAAAGGACCCCAAAAGAATTGCAGAAGACATATGTTCAAGCAGGAAACCAAGCCTCCTATTAAAGAGATACTATATGTACCAAGACCATTTAATTTGTAATAAAGTGGTCTGAGTGCCATGTCCTCTCCGATTAAATCTTGCAAATAAAAACATTCTGCATTACCTTTCTCAATTGTTTCCTCTTATCTTCCCCTTTTCAGAATCTGTTCTTCTTTTCTAAGACAAAGTAGGGACAACTACTGTGTAATTTTCCTATGCCTGACAAATCTTGATAACGTGTGGGTGTTAAGGCAAGCTTCACTGTTACCTTGACAAAGGAAATATAGCATGCCCTAAACTCTACCCTTTAAGATTTGTCAGGCTTAGGAAAAATACAAAAGACAAAGTAGTCCCTAGTGTTTTAAAGAGAAATCGATCAGAAATGAAAAAAATACACTTTAAAATAATTATTATGTATATAGCATCAGTGGGAAAACCTGTTGCTATGTATAATTTCCTTTTTCGTTAAAATCAGGTGCAACAGGTGGAAGCAGGGACAGTGCAATTTGAATTTTGTGTCCGATCAGAGCAGTCATTGGATGAGATAGACCGAATCGGTGAAGAGCTTATTCACTCCAAGCAAAAAATATCAAATTGTAAGTGTGTCGCTTATCTGGTTTATAATTATTTGTATTGCTTCCTATGCATTTATGTGTATGTACTTTCCAGGAGGAATGATATGAGTTTATTCCTAAGGGTGTAGCTAGGTTCAAATACTATAGGAATCAAGGACATAAAATAAGTTCCAACTTACCAAACGATATGTCTGTTGTCATGTTGCTGACCCCAAGTGGTGAGAACGCAGAAGTGCTGTTGAAGCATAGTGTTTGGTTTGACAAAAAACTGGTGGGATTAAGTGGTAATGGTCGAGTAAAATAAAGACTGCTGTCCTAAATAACAGGATAACTTAACTCTAACCCAATGCGGGAAAATCTCTCGCTGCAGCTCAGCTGTACTTCCAGGAGATCATCGGTAATGATGATCTCCTTATCCTCTTCCAGCCAATCCAGTACATCTCATAGAGAAGCATTGGAACACAAGTGTATTCAGCATAATGTTTCTCTCAGGGAAGCATTGAATCCAGTGCTTGTCTATGAGTTGTATTGCCTTCTGCTTTGTGCTAGGGTACAAAGCAATCAGGAAGAGCACCCTTCCTGCTGTTTGATTTAGGGGTTTGAGGTTTTCTTATAACAATTGAACATTCTGTGTTTTCTGTTCTAGGGATGATATTTTAGAACCCTATACCAGTGTCATTTCCCTTGATTGTTTGAAATACTGATAATAAAGAATTAAAAATTGCTGATTCAGCATTGATTTTGACAATGGCTGATTTGTCTCATCATGCAATATGGAGACTTGTCCAACTTCAATATATTGAATATGTCAATGAAGTTGAATGGAATTGATCATTTTAAGAGTTACTGCAACCCAAAAACAGGGTTTTAAGAAAATACTGTTCTTAGTCAGAGTAGTAACCATTCCTATATGCCCTCTCTACCAAGGCCAGGAAGTGACTAAGCCAATAATTGTGCTCCTTTAACTTTACACTGCTGATCTTATCCCATAAATCCTTGGTTTGTGAGCGTTGTAATCCATTTGTCAATGTCCTTCTGTAAAAATGTAACGTGAACTATAAACTGCAAATTGGGAATGTGGCAAAGAAAATGTCTGCTTACGGAGCAAAAATATTTATTAAATAAAATGAATACATTTTAAAGATTAACGGACCCACCATAACCAACTTTAATTTTAACTACTCAATAAAGTCAATATATGTTAGTGCCTGGAATATTCCTATAATCTCTAATTTTGGTGAACGAGGGCCACACTTTGGTACTGTCTGTCTATTCAGATTGACAGAATTGAAGTGAATAAGTACCCCCACCCTATTAAAAAATTTAGATTTTTATATCTCGGCTAAAATTAACAACATCTCTAATCATTTAAACACGTTGCTGGTAAGCAATTCAAGCCTACGCTGTTGTAAAGTTACTGATATTTTTTTAGTTTAATTTTCTTTTTTGCAGACTTTGGTTTCTGTTTCTTATCTTCAAGTTTCCGAACAGACATTAATGGAGAAAAGTTTAAACGCTTGATAGTAGCATTAGAGAACAGATGGCGTTGCTTCATCTTAGATTGACCCTTAATTCTCACGTGTATATGTTTAATTGATATGTCATGTCAGCTGTGGTGTAGGCAATTTATTTTTGCTGGTAGATTTTGGAAGTCTTGTGAAAGTCAAGTGCCACATCAAGGTCCATTGATGTAGATAATTCCTTTAATATAATTTTTTTTAGAACTTTTTAATATTGTGGACATTAAATCTTTCAAACCTGAATTTTAGGGACAGACCCTCCTGAATCACTAATGCTGTACAAAAGAATAAGTGGGAATTTTAGACCGTTTTTTGTCTGAAAACCCAAGATATGAACATTTAGGTTAGGATTACGACACATTTTTTACCAGTTGTACCGCTGCCTGACATACAGTATCTAATGAGCGATATAAGTAAGGTAAAAAGGCCATACACACTTACAATGTTGGAGTTCTGGAGTAACTTGATGAAGACCCTAATGAGGGTCAAAATATTTCCAGGTACACTGCTTACATGGTAGAATATAGACATCACAAATATAATAGTATTAATTAAGTTTGTTTATCCATATCCCATGAACTTGCCTCTCTGTATTCACTGTATGCTTGGAGTGAGCGGAATAGAGCTCAGTGCAATCCATAGCTTACTCCTAAAGAAACTAGCTTTAATGTCCTGAAGTTAATTAGATAGCATCCAGGGGCATTTTTAAGGGGCTGCCCCTCTTGAAAAAAACATTATTTATTTCTCAAACTGTGCTGATTTGAGGGTGATTTACGATGCAAAGCTATGAGGGTCCAGCATCAGATTACTCTCTGCATTTCTCTTCCTACTGTGTACTCACAGGATAGCACTTTAACCCAATATGCACAGTGTGTTTAGGAGACAGAGCAACCTTCACAGGGTGTGCTGATTTCAAGCTTTGCTAATCTGCAGCACTGATAATAGCTATGGATAAATATGGGTTCACATTCAATCACACTCAGCCAAACCCCACACAAAACCACATTCAGTCAGCCCTCGCAAACATCTCACACTCAGACAACTCCACACATACATCTCACACTCAGACAACTCCACACATACATCTCACACTCAGCCAACTCCACACATACATCTCACACTTAGCCAGCTGCCCACAGACATCTCACACTCAGACAACTCCACACACCTCACACTCATTCTACTCCACACACACATCTCACACTCAGCCACCCCCACACATACATCTCACACTCTGCCTACTCCACACAGACATCTCACACTCAGCCAACTCCACACACATCTCACACGCAGCCTACTCCACACACATCTCACACTCAGCCAGCTACACACATACACCTCACACGCAACCTACTCCACACATGCATCTCACACTCAGACAACTCCACACATACATCTCACACTCACCCAATCCACACACATCTCACACTCGGCCAACTCCACATACATCTCACACTCAGACAATTCCACATACATCTCACACTAAGCCAACTCCACACATATCTCACACTCAGCCAACTCCACACACATCTCACACTCAGCCAACTCCACACACATCTCACACTCACCCAATCCACACACATCTCACACTCAGACAACTCCACACATATCTCACACTCAGACAACTCCACACATACATCTCACACTCAGCCAACTCCACATACATCTCACACCCAGCCAACTCCACACACATCTCACACTCAGCCAACTCCACACATACATCTCACACTAAGCCAACTCCACACACATCTCACACTCTGCCTACTCCACATACATCTCACACGCAACCTACTCCACACATACATCTCACACTCACCCAATCCACACACATCTCACACTCAGCCAACTCCACACACATCTTACACTCAGCCAACTCCACACACATCTCACACTCCGCCAACTCCACACACATCTCACACTCAGCCAACTCCACATACATCTCACACTCAGACAACTCCACATACATCTCACACTCAGCCAACTCCACACATACATCTCACACTCAGCCAACCCCACACATACATCTCACACTCAGCCAACTCCACACATACATCTCACACTCAGACAACGCCACATACATCTCACACTCAGCCAACTCCACACATACATCTCACACTCAGCCAACCCCACACATACATCTCACACTCAGCCAACTCCACACATACAGCTCACACTCAGCCAACTCCACACAGATCTCACACTCAGCCAGCCCCACATACATCTCACACTCAGCCAACTCCACATACATCTCACACTCAGCCAATGCCACACATGCATCTCACCTGCAGCTGACCAACACAATAACACTCATCCACCACATACATCCTAGAAAGGTGGGGAGAGTAACGGGGGCATTATTTATTTTTTTACTGAGTGGTTCCTAGTTACACCCTGGGGAATGCTATATTTTTCTGTTCTCTGTGATGTGTCTTTTATGGACTGTTAATTCATTTTAAACAAGCATACATTTCCATTGGTATGAGTGACATTGTTCATTGGTGAGGGTGATTCCCACAGTCCCACTCATGGGAGAACAAGCACTAAAATGAATGCAGTTAAGCGCAATATGATGCCATTTCACAAAATCCATTTAAGATAGGTAAAGTGATCAGTGATAAAAATGCTGCAATTCTTTATTGCCACTTGTGTGATGACATACATAACAGGTACCAGAACGGTAACAGATTTTCCCTATTCCTCCCTGTATGTATACTTTAAGAAAATGTGCCCTTTATTTTATTTATAAGTCTTGCATTGCTGCGTTATCATGGTACCCAATATCTCCTTTACTGATGCTGGTCTAAAAACATTAGTATACAATACATTTTACTATTAAAGAAACGTTTCTGTTCATTTTAAATTACTAGATAACCTTTTCATGTTGTTGATAGTACATCAGTTTAAAAATATGTAAAATTCAGTTTTACCACCAGAGGGCAATCTATCATTATGGAATGATAGGATTTCACTTCCTTACACACAAATACAAAAACACTAGTTTATAGACCGACTTAATAATATACATTAATGTTTAATAATCTCCTATCATAATAGATATAGATCAAGAAAACTGTTGTCATTTATGGATTGTGAAATCCTGCAGCCCCCATTTTAAACCCTCCTCTTGTCATTATTGCTTCAGAGGCATAAACATGTTCAAAGTATTGCACCATTCCATATATTATAAACCACAGAATAATGATAAAGTTACTAAAAGTGTTTATTAAAGAGCTGAAGGGGGATTTGGATTCTCTATGATGAAACATCTATATCCTGCCAATATTATTATGCATGTTTACAAACTACAGATAGACTTGTATGAGGAGGGTTGGTTTCCATTAGACAATATTCAGCACTGGCAGTTGATTGTAATAATGTAATCTGGTCTCTAGACTGTAGTACAAAAAACTATTGAGCCCAAATAACATGATATTAACACAGAACCATCTGCCTTGACTAAAATGATAAAACAACGAAGAATCTATAATAAGATCCCCTTTTCCTTAAATTGAAACTATAGTGCTAGGATTTCAAAGTTGTATTCCTAGCACTATAGTGCCCCCAGTCTGGCTCCTCCTCCGCTCCTCTTCATCCGACGTCAATCGATGACTTCCCCATAGTAAAGCATTGAATCAAATCTTTCCTGTGGAGTTTTAGCAGACCGTGGATGTCCTCATGCAAAGGACCCAAAAATCTGCTAAGGACCCGGAATGCCACAAAAAGTGGAGTTAAACCTGCAATAATTATAAGGGTTGCAGGGTTAAGGGGACTGGGGCACTGCACCCAGACCACTTCAATGAGCTGAAGTGGTCTGGGTGCCTATAAGTCCCTTTAAGACTGGGTATCTTGGACTCTAATGTATCTAATTTAAAACTAGATAAATGGAAAAGCGTAGGGATAAGATCCTTGAAGCAAATATGGGGATCTGATTCTATTAAGTCATTTAGCTTTTTAAAAGATGAGATCAGTGTACCTCCCTTGGAAATGTATAATTACTTGAGGGTAAAGTCAGTCCTCACTAAATATCTGATAATAGAAGATTCCAATTTTACATAACTATTACCATTCATCTTTTATCAGCCATTGCAAAACAATTATAGCTAAAGCCAATGAACTGATTAGATATTCTAAAACAAAACTCTACTTTCCAGCAAAGCATACTGGTCAACATTAACTTGTACTCTCCCTCGATAATTGAGATTGGTCTACGCCACTACAAAAAACAGCATCGGCCATTTGTTGTCTAGATCTCACTGAATTACAATGTAAAGTTGCTAACATGTGGTACTCGGTTCCCTCAAAAATTTGTAAAATGTTCTCTACACAATCCCCCTTATGTTGGAGATGTAATGAGACATGTCACACCTTTTTGCTTATATGGTGGGGCTACAACCTTATTAGACCACTATGAGACAAAAAAATGGAGTGGTTAAGCAATCTTAAAGGTTTTAGAGTAGGGAGATCTTCAGCTGTTGATTGTAGTTTGATCTAGGAGTTCCGATATATACCTTTTTTTGGTACTACATTGTTTGCTAGCATTGAAAGGAATTATTGCCAGTACCTGGAGATCTTCTAAATGTTTTGATTGGAAAACAGTCCAAAATCAATTAATACACTAACTTAAAAAAGAACAAGACATAAATTAAGCCTACTTGAATGTTGGGGAAAAAAATAATTGTAGCAAAAATTGGGTTATGGTAATTAATTAAATGAGGCTATTTCTCTTTCAAACCCTAAGTGCGCGTCACTGCAAGCTAAATTCCAGTTTTAAGTCGACCTACCGCTCACGTTATGCTACTTTTGCTACATATTCATTAAGACACGTTTTCCTCTAATGGATACAAATTTGTTTTATATGTATTTGTTGTTGTATATGATATGCATTAAGAGAGTATTAGAAATTGTTGTTGCATGTTTAGTTTATCCTTTATTCCTTTATGTTGACTCTTTCTTATAACCTCGTATAATAATGTATATATTCTTTTGTTTTATTTTCAAAATGACAAATTATTTGTGATTTTTATATTGAGATATATATATATATATATATATATATATATATATATGTGTGTAGTGGAGGTCCGATACCACCACTTGGTATCTCCACTATTCCTTCCTCAAAGCTGTAAGAAGCGCTGTAATAATCAAAGACTTTTCCCCCCAGCAACTAGATGACACATAGTTCTGGGAGTCAACTCCGCTTTATTCGGCCACACACGGCTTTTATGCATGGCCCGTAGCATGGGGTCTACATAGCAAAAACACACGGGTTTCTTCCCAGGGGTCCCTGTGTCTGAGAGATAATTAAGCCCAAAATCTAATAAGTCAATTATTTCTCAGTTACAGGAAACAATACAATATATACCAAAAATACATCATATTAGTGCAGGAATCCCACAAAAGTCATAGCCCCGAATAGATTGAGTCTGAGCGCCCACTTTGTGGAAATAGTGCTCAGATCCCTTCGTGGTTTGGAATCCCCATTCAAATGAAGTTTTGATCGGTAGGCCTCGAGTTGATGTCACAAAATAGTTCCACAAAAAACAAGGCAACGACTGGTCATCTTTCAGAGGTTCCCACACAAACAGCGACAAATGCTCCCTCTAGCTGTTAGGGAGCGAATGCTCCTCCTGTTCAGTAGTTCCTGTCTCCCGAACGCCATTCTTCTAACTGTTCGTGAAGTTGGATGGGCAGCTGTACAAGTTTCCCTGGTGTTCCCAGGGTTGCGTAGCCGACATACAGTTCCACACACTCGACGGCCATGTACCACTACCTGCGTTCGGGAGACAAAATGGCTGCCAATTCTTGGAGCGTGTGTGTTCGGTTATATGAACGGCGGCCACACAGGGAAAGCACTTGAACTAATTGCTAATTTGTTGTTAATAGCCAGGGGTGGTCGATGTTTTTGAGCTGTTAACAAGGGGACCACACAAATGGGGGGTGTACGGACAGCTGAACAAAAGGAATAAAAGTTTATTTAATGAATCCATTCTGCTACAATATATAAATAAATATATATATATATATATATATATATATATATATATAGTTAGTATTCTTGTCTTTGAAAAAAAAAATTAATAAAGAAATAAATTAAAACAAAAAAGTTGATGAACTAATGATGACATTTGATTAACAAATTATTCTGTATTTCTTCGAAGTGGAACTTTTTCCCACCTATTAAGGAACTTTATAGTACAACCAGTCTTATTCCCAAGTGACCTGGTGTCTGTACTGGGTTATGTTGACAGTTTTACGCCATATATGTCTGTGTTGGGATCTGTAATCTTTCACTGGACCTGTGCATTACACTATTAAGAGCTTTGCTGGGCTATGACTTCATATTTTGTCTTTCTGCATCCCATTATTAAGGTCAGTTCTGGTAATTTCAATGTATCTCAGCAGCCTGATTTATTAATTAGAAATCTGTGATGGGATATATTGCCTTGTTGAATTTCTCCCCATCACATGACAGAGCCATGAGCAGGGATATGACAATGTCTACCATCTCATATGTGTAGATCATGCCCCACAGTCTCACTATTTAATTCCCTGCTATTTAAGAGTTAAATCACTATTGTTACTGTTTAAGCAGTCCTAACCACATCTCTCCTGACTGTTACTTACACAGCCTGCATGAAATAAAGTTTTCATTTACAATCAAATGTTCACTTGCTTTAGAAGTTTTTATCTCCTGCTCTGTAAATCAAACTTTAATCACACATGGGAGGCTACTGCTGGCTCTAGAAGACTATTAAGAGAGCAGGAAATAAGAAATTCTAGATTAAACAGACTGTGCAATACAAGAACCTAGAATATCTAGATTCCTTTCAGAAAGTGATTAAGTTGTTGTTGTTGTTTTGGTGCCTATAGTATCCTTTTAAGACTATAAAAGTCTGTAATTTGTATGACATGATTTGCATTCGTTCTGCTTCATATTACGTAGGTCTGAGAAATAACATTATATCCTGACTATATGCTTTTTCATAGCACATCATCCTGTGTTGACGTATACTGTATTTTTCCATGTATAAGTTGCCCTATGTATAAGACGACCCCTATTTTTTGAGCCCAAAATTAAGAATTCAATATTTTAAACATCAAAAAGAACAACTTTGATATTTTAGAGGTGACTTCTGTTGAGAACAACACACGTCAGATTTTCATGCCTCCCCTGTGCTAAGGTACTCTGTGAAGTTGATGGCACTATAGTGCATGCTGGGAGACTACAGCTCCGACAATACAGCAGATGGCATGAGGGCAAGCTGGGACATTACAGTAGTATTCCCTAGAGGGAGCATTTCATGCAAAATCTAGACCATAACAACTATAGTATTAAGATTTTCTGTCGCTAACTTAAGGTAATAATACTTTATTTATCACCAGATTTAAAGGGCACTATGACTTATAAAAGTACTAGACATCTCTCTTACACAAATTTTTTTTTGAAGTTTTAAGTTTTGTTCTTTATCTTTCACTCCTGATTTTTCCCAACATATGCTTTTTATGCCCAGACTTTATCCCTTTGCTACCAGTAGGCTTGT